GAGTCGGGAAAGGGCCGGCCCACTATGGGGGGGGGGGCAGAGACAGCGTGCCACCTCCCCGGCTCAGGCCCGGGTCCACTCCTCCTGTCCCTGAGCAGGCCCGACGTGAGGGAGGAAGAGTGGGTGCGCCATGGCATTGGCGGTGGGCCCAGGGGAGGACTGGGCCCGGGCCTGATGTGGGAAGCGGGGAGGGGAAGGGAGGAGCGAGCCCAAGCTGGAGGAAAAGCCAGTTCACCACAGCAGCCGGCCCAACATGGTAGCTGCAGGGGGATTGGTGCAGCAAGTCTCCTCCCCCCCACTGGGCCCAGGCCCACTCTTCCCTCTGCCACTGGGTTGCCCCAGGCCCACTGCTCCCCCCCCGCCCCAGCTTCTCCCCACCCTTGGGCGCAACTCCTCCCCCACATCGAGCCTGGGCCCGTTCCTCCCTTCCCCCCACTGTTGTGGTGCAGAAGGGGGGAGCGGGTCCAGTCCCCAAACAGCAGGAGGGAAGGGGGAGTGGGCCCAGGGCTCCATCCCCGCCCGCTCCCCCCACACCTGTCATCCTTGATGGGCAATTGGCTACTTTATAATAAATATGTTCAAACTACAAAAGATTAGGTACATTAAAGAATATTTGAAAACAAAATATTTAAAATAGCAGTGCTGGCATGAACATTCCCTGTCTCCCCAAAGATATTCCAAAACAATACACACAGATTCTGTTCCACTGTATTTTGATGATGCAATTTAAACAAATATCTATATAAAAAGTGTACACTTAATGTAAACGTAAAGTGAACACACACATATGTATACATATACATAAAGTGTTCACTTTATGCTTACTAACTTTAATAAGAAGTACAAAAAGGACTCTTGATATTGGCACTAACTAAGCAATAATTTCCTTGAAAACAGTGAAATAAACAAGGTCCACAAGACTGTATTGCCTGGAAATCCTACTTTGACTCTCCAGATTAGCACTATTGGTAAATCACTGGCAGCTCCCTTCACTTACATCAACAAGGTAGCAAAAATAATTAAAACTAGTGTTTATTTATAACTTCAGGTCATGCGTTTTTGCAAAAGGTGTCAAATTATTGCATTTTTTTGCCAGCATAGGCTTACAACTAAGCACACTGTACAGTTTGAAGATTTGTAAGATGAGTGACTTAAAAGTGCAGATGATTTTTTTTTCCTTCCTTAACTCTCTCCACCCACCTCTGGATTTCTTGTGGTGTAACCTGCCTGTGTGTGAAAGCTACATCATGAATTAATTAAAATGAACAAATTTCTGAAGTTTAAACACATTTTATTACCAAATATTTTTAAATATAAAGACTACCAAAGCCAAGTACCATAATGTGGACAGCAATGTTGTTGGAAAAGATATTAAGTTAAAGTGCACAGCTAAAGCTGAACTAGTGGTTGGAGAAAAAAAGGGGAGGAAACTCTTAAAATTCCTGTGGTTCAGGGTGTAACAGAAACAAATGGTATTTACAGTTCCTCTGTTCAAATATTACTTATCTTTAATTCTACAGACAGCAAGCTGTTTCTGCAAAATAAAGTTTATATGAAACAAATTTGAAGGACTCCACAGTACTCTAGTTAATTCTTAACCATTTTAGGTCCAGATATTTCAGTAAAATTATTTCTATATATTAAACGTATACATTTAAAGCTTAAAATAAGATCTGAGCTGACCCTAGGAGAACTTTAAGACCTAATTACCAGACGGAAAGAAAAACCAAGTAAATAGGAAATGAGTTAGGATTTAAAAGTTGAAGCATGTCACCATAAGAATTTTCACCAAAAGTGCCAGACACTAGGAAAGATCAACTGAAAGTTAGGTTAAAAATACACTATTGCAAACTGTTTCAAGAATATAAACATTCATAAAAGGCTTGTGTTCATGCTGTGAGGGAAAAAGAAAGCCTAACAATTTACTAATTACAATTCCCCTGGAAAAGATTCCTGTCAGTTTTTCATTAATCTAAAACTACTCACCTTGAGGGGCTTCCACAAAGTCCTGTTACACATTTCCCTTTTGGAAATTCCATTTCTTTTTTTAAAGCCATTAGTTTTTCCTTCATTCCCAGGTCGAAACTGTATGTGCAAGTGAGATGCCCCTGCCTTAGGACACTTGTATTTAAGGCTAGATAAATAGCAAGAAACTTTCTGGCAAGAACCTTCTAAGGACATGCTTCTTTGCAGAAAATGGTGGGTTTTGTTCATTTGAATATTAGGTCTTTTTAGTTCATTTTCATTAATCCGATATTCTGAATGGTTTTTTGAGGGTAAACACGCAGATGTGCTATGTGTCAGTTTTAAATGAGGGCACTCTGCACTAGAGTTCAGATTTGATTCTGGACTGCCACAACTATTAACCATTTCATCCCTTGATGTAGATACTTTTTGAGTAAGGTGAACTGAAATACAAGAAAAGCCATCAGATGTTTCTTCACAAGTTGCCTGCTCAGAACTATCTGTGGCTTGACTTTTGGCCTGTAATGAAGTATTCAAGTAAAGTGGTCTAATCTCTCTAACCTCACCAGGAGAGAAAGCAGATTTAGAGAGTCGAAGTCCATTGACTGCTGTTGAAAGAAACTCCTTATTACCAGTTTGATTTTCATGTTGTGCCAGGTCACTTGGAGAAATAACTAGTTTATGTGAGGTCTGATATGCCACACACTGTGTTGGAGACATTGGTGGAGTACTGGAAGGGCTTCGAGGGAAAATTACCAATGATGAACAACGTCTTAGTGGAACTTTAGTTTTCCTCCTTGCTGACAATTTCATTTGCTCCAAACCATCTTGGTCAAAAATAGTATTACTTCGACACAAACATTCCTGAGATGCATCTTTCCTATAGGAATTATATTTGTTTGTAGTTCTTCTATACGAAGAGTTATCATACACAATGCTATTATAAAAAGTACCACCACCTGTGGAAAGAG